ACTTACTTGAGCCCGGCTGATTGCATGCACCACACCCTTTCTTATCTTATAAAATCTTTACTTAAAACATTTTTCTTTTGAAAACTTTACAGATCCTCAGTTTGAGTTCAGGCACACCCGAAAGTACGTCTGAATCCCTCAAACCAAGGCTCTGATACTAACTTGTAACGACCCAAAAATCAAAGGTAAAAATTTCATTTTTAATATGACTAGAACATTGATACCATTTATTTCAAACATTCCAAATCATCATTAAGTGAAATAATTATCAGAGTTCGTCCCAAAACCATTCATTGAGGAAATCATTGGTGTGTGCACTGCGATCAATCCGAGCCCTTCATTTCCAAATCGATGCAACCTGAAACCAAAACTGTAAACCGTAAGCACAAAGCTTAGTGAGTCCCCCAGAGCATACCCCACACACAATCCACATAACACATATCGTATTAGCTGTAAAAAGCTATCTTTATCGTTATCACATATCAATCAGCTGTAAAAGCTACTCTACCACATATGACATATCAAATAGCTATAAAAGCTCTCTCTACCATTAGCACGTATCAATTAGCTATAAAAGCTACTTCTGCCACATATCACATATCAAATAACTATAAAAGTTATCTCTACCATTAGCACATATCAACTAGATATACAAGCTATCTCTACCGTTAGCCATAAATGCTATCTCTACCATTAGCCACAAGGCTATCTCTACCATCAGCCATAAAGGCTGTCTCTACCATTAGCCACAAGGCTATCTCTACCATCAGCCATAAAGGCTGTCTCTACCATTAGCTACAAAGGCTATATCTACCGCATATCACACATACATACATATCACACACCTCTACATAGCAAGTATACCAATTATCATAAAATGGGTCGGCCTTGGTGCCTTAGACCCATTGGTATGGTGAGAAGACTCACCTGGCACTGCTGAAGCCCCGCAGATAAAACTCCCCTTGCTGGTTGACAGATTCTCGAACTGTCAACATCAAACAATACCCAATTAATAATTGGGTTCCAACACATAACCACAACTCTATACTTGGGGTAAAAGACTACTTTACCCTAACTCAAATTTATTCAATTCAAGGCCCAATCCAAAGCCCAAAAGCCAAACCATGGACCAAAGCCCAACATATGGCCCAATTTTCCAAATTGGGCCCAAGCCTATACATGGCCTTATTCTAAGGCTCAACATCATATAGTCATTAAGGCCCAAACTATGACCCATCTATGGCCCAATTTTCCCAATTGGGCCCAATCCTTCATATAGGCCTTATCCTAAAGCCCAACTAATTACTCTAGTCTATATGATTATTCTTGGATGGCTCATTAATAATCCAATCATCAAGGCCCACTAGAAAGGCCCAACAATAAACCCAGTGAGATTAGGGTTTTCTCATGAAATGATGATTAGGGTTAAGTGTCCCTACTTAACCCATTAAGGACTTAATCTATTAAGTCCCACCTGGCCTTAGGTTAATTACAATTGGTTATTAATTAATATTTTAAATTCATTAAATAATTCCGATGCGGTCCCGATAAGTCCCAAATTAGGGTTTCATGGCATTAGGGTTTTCTAAACCCTAATTAGGGTTTCCAACCCATATTAGCCCAATAGGCCCAATAACTAGGTCCTTTGACCAATTAGGGTTCATTAGGCCCAATTATGATTCCACTACACACGGTGGACAAAGGTGGCAGAAAAAACAAATGGCGGCAGCCACCATGGTTGGTTGCCATGGTGGCTCTCTTAAATCTCCAGCCAGCCAACAAAACGCACACACAAACACGATGGAACAGTGATTCACACATCACGATAGCATCTGAAACACGCACACACACATCTCTTGCACGGAAAAGAACCCAACCACCCACCTGGTGGCTAAATGCGACGACAGATCTAAGATGGCGGCACCAAACGGCGGTGAACGGAGGGCGTCGACGGGATGTAGCAGCCTCCTAAACGACAGCGGTGGCAAATCTTGGTCTTCAACGGAACGGTAGCGGCGGCGTCTAGCCGCTATGGAATGGAATCGGAGGCGGCGGTCGTGGCTGGAACATGGTAGCATGAGAACGGAAAGCAGCAGCGACCAACAACGACAAAAGATGGCGGTGAAACCTCCGTTGAAGTGGTAGTGGCGATGCAACAGGAGGAAAGAAGATGACGCCCGTTCTTGGTTCTCGTCGGCATGGACGATGGTGGCCGCTCGGATCGTCGTCTGGCCGGAAAACTTGAAGGAATCGGGAGGCATAAGGGGTGACAACTAGAGATTGGTAAGGTGACGGCTGAAGTTAGAGATAGGGTTAGGGTTTGGAGGTGCGACGAGGGAAAGCGGGACACAATCTTAAACCCCCGGCCCCATAATACACTTCAGCCCTTTTAACACAATTGGTCCCTCCATCCCAAAAGGCTTTCAATTGACGTCCCAAATTTACCATATAGCCCCTTGCTTCCAAGAATTCTTCCAATCTAAGTCCAAAAGATACCAAACAACCCTCAACCCTCAAAAGTCTTTACAATTTAAACCCCAAAATTACACTTTTAACCCCCGAAATCCAATTTATAGCATTTGGCATTAAAATACTCATAATAATTACATCTCGGGGCTTCAGAGTTTATTATTTATTTAATTGATTTTAAACGGAATGTTACAGTTCAACCTAGTACATACATCGCTGAGTCACCATGTTGTAATTTTCACATGACTCGTTGCTTTCAAATATAAGTGTAAGTTGCTTTCAAATATAACTGTAAGGTATGTTCTAAACACTATATTTTCAATATAATCATAATCACTATAAAATGTCACCATAAAAGGGATGTAATATTCATGTGTATGTTTTATTCAATATAAAACACAAAAACTACGCAAAGTGAACATGATGTTAAATTATTCACGACCTAGATTCAGATCCTCCTAACCACTCAAGTTTTATTTTGGGTAAGCAATTCAACCCTCTCAGAAACCTCTCATCTATTGGCGGGAGATTCACTCGTATTATTGCTACCTTACGAAACAGTTCCTCGGTGATGTCTTACTCATTGATGTTATAGAGAATATTATTGGTAACAAGGATATTGTTAATGATAAATGAACTATTTTGCGCATACACAACATTCTGCAAAGGAAACGAGCAACCACGAATAATGATGAAGGGGGTTTGAAGCCACCACAAGTGTATAAAGGTCTAGCCAATAGGAAAAATGAAGAAAAGTCTTTGGATAACGTGTCACAACCAAGATTCATAAAATATAGCAATCAAAATAATGGATAAAGAGATAAATTATAGCCATTAGGTCCAAACAATATCTAAGGGTCACACATACTTTGACTAATGATATAAACTTAGTTTTTTCATATCAACTAGGGATGAGCATAACCGGGTACCCGCCTATTTTAGCTGGAACCGGAACCGCTCCCGGAACCGGCGGTTCTTAAATTTTTGGAATTGGAACCGGAACCGCCTACACCGGTTCCTAGAAAATTGAAATCGCTCCTGGAACCGCCGGAACCGGTTCCGGTTCCGGGTACCCGACTTCTTAAATATAAAACTTTTTATTTATAAATTATAGAGTACATGACATGGATATTAAAATTTACAAACATAAGAAGTGGAGGATGTGAAAATAAAACAATTATAAAAACTTCATCTTTTACATAACCACTTATTAAAATTTAAAAACACTTCCCACAATTAAAAAACATCATAGAAAACATTTCCCAGCAAGTGAAATTTAACAAGTAGAGCTGTAGAAATGACAAATTTAACAAGCAGCAGCAACCATGTCAATAATATTGGTTGTGGTATAACTGTTTGACTTTAGTCTAACACATCTAGCATCAACATCAATGGAACTTTTGGTCCAGAAAGTAAATACATTTGAATCCATAATCTATAAGGAAATAAGAAATTTAGAGTCATTCCAGAGATTTCAAACTTTAACAAGAAATTAATATAGGTTTTATAATTTAAGTGCAAGAGTCAATAGGTTACTCGTGTGTAGAATCTTAAATGAAAGATGTTCAATTTTATATCACAAGATTTTCAACTTACTATATCATTACATCCTATGGGGAGGTTAAATATGTCAAATGACAACACAAGTCATTATCTTTCATTTTTCTGTTTTTTTTATGTAACAGATATAGAAATGCAAGAGATTCAAACAAGTATCACAAGTGGTTATCTTTCATTTTAACAGAAAGCAGTAACAGGTTCAACCTTCTCAAAGCTTTTATTTTTTATGTGGGAATATAGAAATTATGAAGATAGAAATGATGCATTGGAACTAAAATATTTGTACCTGAGGTTTTGTACCAGCTCCTAGAAGTGCAAGTTACATCAATTTCGTCTCCATCACCAAATTCGTTATGCTAGCTAACAGGGAACAAAATGAAACAAATCACAACCAACATTAGTATAAATAAATGCAGATGACATTAATAAAGAGTTCAATGGTATGATTTATTATGCTTGCCAACAGATGAACCAAATCTGAAGCACGTTTGATTAAACACACACACACATCAATGTCGCATAGCCCTACCAGATAGCCAATTACAGATTTAAGTCGAGATAAAACATAGGCTAATATCAGGACCTCAACCCCTAAATAAATTCAAGCAACCCATGGAGCATTGGCTATGCTCCGAACCCAAAAAAATATTGAATTAAATTGAGTAAAAGAGAAACTTGAGCGGGAAAGATTCAGGGTCAATACCTGGTTTGCGCAAATAACCTTAAGCGCAAGTAACTTGATGAAATTGGCGATTAAAGGAGAACAATCCGCCTCTTGGCAACTATGTAACATCAACCATAGTTAGCGATATTCACAAAGAAAGGACAAAATTCCGATTCTGCTAGAAATTACCTGATTCGGTGGAAATTATTGGGAGTCAGATAGATTGCCTGAGCGGGCGACCGAGTTCATAGAGATAGAATGATGGAACGATTAGGTTAAATGAGGAGTTAGAACTGGTAATCAAGCGATGAGAGAGACAAGGAAGAACCTAAGTAGGGATGATCGGAGCGACGTGGTACTCACGATGGTCTACTCCAGCGAATCAATCGACGTGGTCCACAGTCGTCTTCTACCCTTCTTTGATCGATGTGGTATTTGCCTATTTGTGGCAAACTGGTAATGTGAGAGACAGAGAGACGAGTGAATTTCAAGTCCTGGACGATAACTGGTTTGAGAGGGGAGAGAGGAGAGTGACGAGAAAAGGCGGCGTTTTTTTTAAGAATGAAAATCTAAAACCCTAAAAACAAATTAGGTCCAGCCAAAATATAAAAATTTAATATATATATATTTTTAGAAAAATGCGGGTACCCGTCGGTACCGGTTCCGGTTAACCGACGGTTCCGGGTCCCCGGTATTGGAACCGGAACCGGCGGGTATCCAGCGGGTATCGGTTTCGTAAAAATGAGAATTGAAACCGGAACCGCTTAAGGCGGTTCTTAAACTTTAGGAACCGGAACCGGAACCGCCTAAAGCAGTTTCGGTTCTGGAACCGGCAGTTCCAAGACGGTTCCAGTTTCAAAAGCAGGTACCCGCTTCCGCTCCTCATCCCTAATATCAACTCTAAATGCCTCTAAAATTTGGAGGACCTTGTATTTATAGTGAAAGTTGATTACCCCTGCGGAGACAAATTTATATACATAATAAAGTTTGACAATCTTTAGGAAAAGTACCTGACCACAGTTACTGTTCATGGATTATTTTAACGCTACCATGGTCACCGCTTCCAGGCGGCATCTCAGAAATATCTTCCGTCCTTCCAGAACTCTCTCTATTCCTCGGACAGAAACCCACCGCCTCATACCCCCTCCTTTCTACGGTATTGTCTACGCTCAAGAAATATTGGGCGTTTCCTGCCCTCCACCTACTCCAGCCTCTCTTCTTCTCCTCAGAATCGTCGACCTCCACCAGCTCCTACCGTAGAAAGTGAGTTTCAGAATCGTCGGCGCCCACAAGCCCTAAAAGCACCCCACCGATCGGTTTTGCTCCTTCTACTACTATGCTTATCAATTGCATGTCCATCTTTCTCCTGTATCTTCTATTTCAGATGCGTACTGGATTCCCAACTTCGACGACAGATGGTTTGCCACCGTATCGATGTCGGCTTCGAGACACCGGGCTCACCTTTTCTGTTTCCGGCTCCATCACCACCATTAGCCGCCTCATCTGGACCTGCTTCCCAACGAACTGTGACTGTAGATGTGCCTCCTACTAAAACAGAGGTTCCACCTGCAGCCACAAACTCCATAAATGACTTTGAAGCACCAAAGGAGCCAAAGAAATCTGGTATGTAATGACCATTTTGACCCTTTGTAATTCTACTTTTGCAATAAATTATAACTCAACATGTTCTCAGCTTTTGTTGGTGTGTCGCCTGAGGAAACATTGAATATGAACCCGTTTGAAAACTTCAAAGAATCTAAAGAGACTGAATCCCCGAAAGATTCTCAGTTTTTGAACCAAGTAAGAATTTCATTGTGAACTATGATCCATTTCAATATCTGGGTTCATATAAAATGATATGTTTTATGAAATTAGGGTTCCTAAAATGGATCTGCTTCAAACCCGATGAATAAAGATTTTCTGCTTCATCACTACTCTGTCACATCAAAGAAAGGTAATTTCATTTTTGTTTTTTTTTTGTGTTTTTAATCAGATTTTTGTGGACCTACTACCTGTTTGTGGGTTATTCTAATATGACTAAAGTTTTTTGTAGTTGTCGATTTTCCTCTGGACCTTTGCCAATTCCATATCAGTACAGTACGTGAACTGAAACTTCATCACCCACGACTACGAGATTGATTGACGTTTCTGATTACTTTGGACAATTTGGTTGACCGTACCACACTTAATCCTCAGGTTACTACTTCTTTTTTTGAGTTCTTAGAGTTACATTTCAATGAAATTGAACAAATTTAAGACTATGAGTGTTGGTTCTTTCCTTAGAAAAGGCCTTGAAGATTACAGGGAAATGGAATAAAAAAAGGAGAGCGATGAGGATGATAGACGCAATAGAGAGTTGTGTGATAACATTTTGGTTTCTTATGTTTTGTTCTTAGTCCCTGTTGTTACTGAATTTGTTCAGGTAACTAAACTAACTCTGGGGTTTTTCTGTTGCAATTATCATATAAAAGTAAAGGAGCATTTTTTCAATGTTGAAGAAGCTCAACTATTATAATGTTGGAGTAAACCAACTGGGATGCAAAGCCTGTGGAGTGTCGACCAGGCATGGAACCAATCAGAAATAAGAGGTAACAAAAGGAGATATTCACTGATTGAATATATACACATGGCAAGTTTTGACTTTCTTATGTATTTCTGCTTAATGTATGCATCAACTTGAATATTTATAGAGTTCTTTTTCTCTGAAATATGAGCCACTGATTATAGGAAAACTGAAATCTGCTACAAATCACCAGCTACATGTTTCATATGGAGAATGGTTCACGTTTGCCTTTGAGAACCAATTTTATGGCATTGCTAGAAAGGTGTCATGTTCTTCCATTTTAATGATTTCGCTGACCATAGCTTAAGACAAAATGAAACTTCTACAACATAGATTTTAATTCACATTGGTCAATGGAATTAACTACACCATTGAAACAAAAAAATCCAAGATTTCTGTTAACTGTTGTTATCGACTTTATGTAGGAGACGCAAGAGTCGTCACTGCCTGCTTTGGTGGTGATGGCTGAAATGTTGACAGGGTTCAAGACGTTGATCAAGGGTTACAGTTGATTGATTTCAAGAGCATGAGGTACTAATATTTTTTTATCTGTATTGTTCCATGTAATACGAACTTTGTAAATTTAATATATGAATGATAAGTTGAAATAAAAATTGTTACACTTCTCCAAATTGAACTTATACTTCATTTTTCAGTGAGTTTTCTTTTGCTTCAAATATGGAGATTACCAATGTAATGGAATATGAAGCACTTGCAAAGCAGAAGTTACCCAAGATGATCTGTGATTATTATGCATCGGGTGCAGAAGCTCAATGGAATCTTATGGAAAATCGAAATGCTTTTTCAAAAATATTGTAAGTCATTTCTTCAATTCATTTAGTTCTGTCCTCATATCATTAGTCTTGAATTCTTTTATACAAAAATTGGTTTCAAACGCGTTTAATTATTGATTTAAGCAAGATAATATATGACCACAACAGTTTTAGGCTTCAAGATTTTAACCAACAAGTAATGTTCATACATCTCTTGAAGTTGATATATTTCTTGAAACTGATGTTTTTTTTTTTTCAGACTGTAGATCAAGCGTCTGAAGATATGCAGACCCAAAATCAGCATCTGTTACTTTTCCAACATTTATATATATGTATGTGCATTTCATTAGGAAAAAGCATCAAGGGTGGTTCAGAACATGAACTCGAGTTCCCTTTTTTTTTTTGGAAAGAACTATGCTGCAATTACAGTTATTGAAATTTTTTTTTTAACTATATTTCCTCAATTGTAAAAAAAGGAAAAGTACAATCTTTTCTATAAAACCAAAAAAAAAGTCTATAACATGAAGAAAATGCAAAACGGGACGATCTGTCCATGGAAAATGCATGATGAAAAAAACATTTGCTGATTAGATGAGGTTTATGTTTCAATAAATAAATCAATAAACTATGTATCGTGATCTTCTTTCCGAAATCGTTTAATCAAAATCTGACCCCCACAACGCGGGGTCACTTTTCTAGTTAAATGTGAATTTTCAAATATTCATATTAGAAAATTGGGTTTGTCTTTTGACCAAAGTGAAGTCTTATTATTAATATTTAATACCCCAATATATTTGCTCCAAAGACTTGCATTATTTATACCGATGATGATTGATTTAATAAATTGTGATTGATTTTTTAAATTATCTTTGATCAAAATCATTATAAGCTACTGAATTTCTGTGTGATTATCTAACATATGAAATGGATATGTTTGTTTTTGTATTTTTTTATGTTTATGCGTGAGAAAAGAAATTGGGCATAAAAATATGTTAGTTTAGGCGGAAATGGTAAAATATAAAGTTTGGTAAAATAAAGGAAACAGTAGAATTAAAACCGTGCAAAAAAAATGTGATATATGGCAAGCTGAAATATATCTATTTAGTGGGAGGGGTAATGTGTAAAGTTTGAACTAATATTAGTTTCCAAAATTTAGGCGACATTACTGCACTGTGACTTTAAATTAAAAGAGGGTCATTTTTGGTATTTCAGTTTGTGTGAAAGGGGGTTGAGAAATTGACACGTAGAACATGAAGGTTTCGTTTATTAGATAGGAATATATATATATATATATATATATATATATATATATATATATATATATAAATCAAAGTGAAAATATATTAAAGTGATCAGACTAACAAGAATTTAATATTAAACGTTCATTAATTTCAAAAAGGAAAAATCTAGATAGAAACACAAATCAAAAAACCAGATCTAAAAACTAATCACATGAAAAGTACTAGTCCAATGCAGAAATGAAAACTAGGGTTTTAGCCAGACATGGCTAAAAAGGAATGTAAACAAGTAAAACGAAACATTTACTGAATAATCTTCTAAACTAAATGTGTGAGATGATTCACAACCTTTAGATCTTCATAAATCGCTGAAAGTTATCAGAAATCACCTTCAGAATTGTTTTCCATCGTCTGGAACCGTCTAACTTTCTAATATGATAATAAGGGTCTTATTTATATGCAAGACAGAAGCTTTTGGAGAAAGAAATCCAAAAATATGATCACAGTTTTCAGATAAGCGATCGCAGATATCCTGACTTTTTCCATATTTGCCCCTAAATGATGTACGAAGCTTGGTCAAATTTTTACACTAACCCCCTCCCCAAGCTTAAAATGATGCATTGCCCGCAATGCTCAGAGAGAAATGAACAACTCAATAAATCATATAAAAAGAAAATGGTACAACTAAGAAAGAATGTATCTAATGAGTTTGCAAGAATTTGATTTTCATGAAGATGTGGTGAAAAATCTAAATTTCAGCAACTTTGTCGATCCTCTCATTTCGCCAAGCTTTCTTGGAACTGTGACCACCTCTTTATTAAAAGCGAAAAAACTAAAAACCATTCCCTGAAAGCTGCCCATTTTCAAAGTACTTGGCTCAACTTTTCCCAACCAGATTATTAACTGGTGTGGTTGGGACTTCTCTGAAGCTCAACTCTCTTCCTTGTCACTCCAGACCCCTTCTAATATGGCAAGATCGGTGGATCTGGAACTTGTTCAGCAAAATGGAAAGACTTCATATTTTCTCCAGATAAGTTTTTTATATTTTTGAACTTCTTTCGTTTTCTGATCTTCTTTTTCTTTCCAGAAATCTTCTCTAATGTTTCTTCAAATTTCCTTCTTTTCAAATTGTTATCCGATTTTTCCTTAGCAGATTTCAACTCCTCCTCTCCCCCAAGCTTATTTCTGTTCAGCTCCATTAATGAATCATCATCTGATTTCCTGTCTAAAAACAGATCTTGCACAGAAACCTCAGAAAACTCATAGTAGCCCTCAGATAAAGGACTGTTGGTACCTAGAAAATTAATAGAAATATTATTAGTGGTATCATCATCGCTCAATTTAAAGTGCACCACATCTCCATCAAATTCCGTAGAAAGCGTACAAGCAAAAACATCAATTTTCGTTTTAGCAGTTTTTCAAAAAAAGTCTTCCCAAAATAATTGAGTTTTTATTTGATACGTCTAAATCACCCATGTCCAAAATATAAAAATCATCGGGAAAAATAAGGTCACCCACTTGGACGAGAACATCCTCCAATACACCTTTTGGGTGTACTGTCGAGTTATCTGCCAACTAAATGAGTGTCCTGGTCTTTTGTAAAGTTTCAAATTTTAATTTTTCAAATACTGAAAAGGGAAGGACATTGACTGATGCACTTAAATCAAGCATGACATTTGAAAAATTAAGGTTCCCCAATTTACAAGGAATCGAGAAAATTCCCGGATCCTTGCACTTTGAGGGCAACCCGTTTACAAAATTGAAGAGATATTTTCGCCAGCTTCGATAGTTTCAATAATTTTAATTCTTTTCTTAGAAACACATAAATCTTTCAGAAACTTGGCATAATGATGGATGTGTTTGATAACATCTAAAAGTGGAAGATTTACATCAACCTTACGAAAAATTTCCTTGATGTCTTCATCCTCTCTTTCACGCTTCTTGTTCTTCAGTCATGATGGGAAGGGTGGTAAGGGCTTGTACACCTTCAGATTTGGCTTCACTGGTTGTAGAGTTTCTTTTTCTTCCAGCTTTTTAAATTCTTCTTCAACCAAAACCTCTTCATACGATTCCTCTTCTTTTTATGTTTCTTTTACATCCTCTTCTTCAACCATAACTTCTTCATATTATTCTTCAGCTTTTTCTGGTTCAGATGCGCCTGGGTTTCCATAAATTTTCCCACTTCTAAAGGAAATAACACTCACATTGTGCTTTAGATTATTTCCAGTGTGCCCCAGTAACTTTCCTTGAGATTCCAGACGTCCCACAAAAGTGACAAGTTGAGACACCTGTTGTTCCAAATTCTTGATACTAGCTCTGGTTTCGTTCTGAAATGCTTGGGTGTAGGGGTGTGCGCGGTGCGGTTTGGTGCGGTTTAGAGCCAAAACCACAAACCGCACCGCATATGCGGTTTGAGTTATTTAGAAACCGCAAACCGCACCGCAAACATTCAAAACCGCATTATGCGGTGCGGTTTGGTGCGGACGGTTTATGCGGTTTGACTAATTATTTACTTTAAATTTAATAATAATACTATCATTGTCATCACTAACGGCTCACTAAGTGGTCATTAATAAATTTGGTGGTCAAATAATTGTGGTCATTAACTACTTATGAATATACATAAGTTAAGAAAACATAGTGACTATAAAATAATGGTCAGAATCTTAGTTGAAAATGAATTTGAGACAAAAAACTATGGTAACTGCGTTAAATTTTGGATTAATTAAGATTACATTTTAAAAACTTAAGATAATGTCACTAATTTAGGACATGTCAAAATATTTTCGAATATATATATATATATATATATATATATATATATATATATATATATATATATATATATATATATATATATATATATATATAATCATTAATTGATTTTATCAATGCGGTGCGGTTTAAACCGCAAATTTGTAATCTTAAACCGCAAACCGCATCGCATAATGCGGTTTAACAAAAATACAAACCGCAAACCGCACCACGAGTGTTTTAAACCGCGTTATGCGGTGCGGTTTGGTGCGGTGCGGGCGGTTTATGCGGTTTGTGCGATTTATTGCACACCCCTACTTGGGTGCTCGTGGCATGACTTTTCACAATATCTTCTAAGGCCACTCTGGAACTGCTGGGTTGCTGATGTGAGTTCTGGTTCTGAAAATTATGTTGATTCGGATTCTGAAAGTTATGTTGATTCTGAGAATTTTGCTAAAAGTTCGTCTATTGAAAACCCGGCGGGTGCTAAAATTGTTGTTTTGGCTGAAAATTATTATTTTGATAATAGCTTGGAGGCTGATTATAAACCTTCTGTTGCTTGTATCCTCTGACATCTTTGACTAGAGAAACATCATCTTGCAAGATCGGACACATATATGTTAGATGTTTAGTCTTCAGACATATACCACATTGTTTCTTCACAGCTGCTTATTCTTTTGTCAGGAGCGGAACAACTTTTGCCAGTTAAGATATTTGAGACTCTAGATGAGTATTACTGATTTCTTTGACACCCCTTAGCTGATCCGGATACTATTCGTCTTCATTGCCATAATGCTTTGACTCTATCGCTAGCTTCTTGATCAGTTCTCAGATTTCTATTGGTGTCATGTCACCTAAGGAATAGCCACTGGAAGCATTTATCAGACATCACTCCATGGGTGTCATACTTTTTAAATCTCTCTAGTAAGTATGTAATGCTTCTCTTTTTCCTTGTTTGATTCCAAGGATTTCTCTTGGGAGACTTGAAACTCTCGTTTCTTGAAAATACTTCTCTAAGAACAACTTCACGAGTTCTATCCAAGTGGTAATAGAACTAAATTGTAGCTCATCCAGCCATGCCCTTGCTAAATCTTGAACTGAAAAAGGGAATGACCTTAACATTATATGATCTTCAGTAACAGCATGCGATTTCATTCCTGAACAAACCACATGAAATTCCTTGATGAATATATGTGGCTCTTCGTTTTCTTGACCTCAGAATGTGGGATGAAGATGTATCAGCCCAGATTTGAGTTTGAAGTTCTGGGCTTCTGGAAAAGTTTTGCAAAGGGGCTGTTGATTGACTTCTTGAGTGGCCCACTCTCTGAGAGTCTTCTCTGCTTCATCTCCACTCATGGCTAATTCATCAGATTCAGTTTCTTAAGGGTCTGTGGTTTCAGATTTCACTAAGGATTGTGGGGAATATGTTGTAAAAAGGACAGTTTGAAGGTGAAGTTGGGGTTACTTTTGGAAAAAACGGATTTGGTTTGTTCCACAAGGGAGTCCCTTGTGGTGCGGTGATTTAT